GTAAACTGGCCCCATGAAAACTCACACATACCTTTTTCTCAGCTTATCGATTTTTGTAATTCTTTCATGTAACTCTGCACTGACGGTTGATTTCTCCTCGTCTGCAGCTTTTAGCTGTGCTCTCAGCATGTCGTAATGAATATTAATCTCTTGACGCCTTTCTTTCATTGCCTGGGTTAGAAGATACAAAATCAACCAGAATTAAGAACACAAATCTAGATCAGTACTGGTCCATCCATCATGGAAGTATTTTTGTCTAAACCAAGATGTAACAATTATTTAGATAACCCATACAAAAAAAATTATGTTGAATGTATTTTTTTTAAACAAAGACAAAACCCAATGCAGTGCATTCCACAATTTATACACTCACCGTGTTAAGTTGTAGTCGTCTTTTCTCCAGTGACAACACAGTGTCTGCTTTGCTATTCAGGTTGTCACGTAATCGCTTGATCTCAAGCTTTAAAATATTCTCGTCAACCATCAAGTCCTGTGGGGAGAGTGAAATAAAAACAATTACATTTACCGCAACGTGCAACCACTAATGTAAATCTGTTAATCACGTATGGAAATCGCACAGTTTCTACATGAAATGAACAACATAGGGCAAATAACTATTGTTATAAAATGGCCGGATTTCCCTTACCTCTTTGTTTCTGATAATCTTCTTCAATTCTCGTTGCGAGCTATCATTATGCAGATTCAACTCCTCAATTTTGCTTGTCAAGTCAGCCTTCTCGTTACCACTCTTATCCAGGTCGCGTTTCACACGGCGTATATCATCCTGTACAAAACAACAACATAGGAGAGCATCGTTATAACACATCAGTCACTCCGTGCATATTTTCTTAATCAAAGCAGAATGATCAGTAGTACAGATTATTGCAATGTTTTGTATTTACCTGAAGTCTTTTCAACTGCAAACTCAGCAATGAATGCACATCATTTCGGTCATTCAACACACTAGTCAATTCTTGGATCTTCAAGTTCAGCTGGTCCATTTCCTCTGTGCTACGCTCACCTTGCATGCGAGATATTTTACGCTCAAGTTGTTGAATTTGGAAGTCCTACAATGTGAGCAGCAACAAATTATTATTATTCAATGAAAGTAAGAAACAAATTGGCATGATTTCTACTCAGAACAAAGTTAAACGAGAGAGAAAACATAATGCATGCTCTGATTGGCTAGCAGCTTAACATACTAATGCACATAAGTTATACACCAGCCAATGAAATTCATTTTTATAAATTAAATGCAAAATACTAACCTGGTTGTAAATAATTTCTAGCTGTTTCAGTGAATCATGATCTAACTTGCCAATTCTGCTACTAAGATTACGACTTGCAGCTCGTGACCCACGAATTTCGGCATTCGCGTTCTTCTCCATCGCTTTAGCTTGAAACAACTCCTGGGTTTTGCGGAACTGAATCTCACGCAGTCTTTTGAGCTCAGAGTCAATCAGTCTCTGACTGTTCTCCTCGTCTGACAGAAGTTTGTCCATCATCATGGCTCTCTCCTCAGCGGTCAGTTTGGCCTCGGTGGTGTATCGTAGTTTCTCATGCAATTGCTCTCGAAGATCTTTAGCATTACCAAGGCTATAAGCAAGCAGTAATATTCAAACAATTAGTTAATGTTTAAATATACTTAAAATGTATATAACACCAAAAACTAAATAAAAAGAATATACAGGGGCATTTACCTTACCCTAGTAGATAGCATGAATGTAGTTGTATAAGTTTTGTATGAATAAAAACATAGCATAAGTATTACAACCTTGCTCATTGGGAATCTAGATACTAACTAACAAATAAAAATTCAGTCTGATAAAAAGTAGACTGGTTGTTATGTGTTTATCTAGCTCTGTGTAGATATATATCAATACCTTTAATAAAAATATACTATATTAATCTCGAAGTCCCTTATAGAATAACATAACATGAATTGCTTAAAAGTTTCCAAATAGTACAGCAATATATTCAAGTAAAAATACAGGCCAGAATATTGACACAAAGAATGCTTCTCAAATTTTGGTGAGAAAAATAATTGAATATAAAGAAAACAATCTATCCAGTTACTATACTATCTAAGTAACATCAGAGGTACATTACTTGGGGTTTGCAACGCGCATAGTACTGTATGGTGACATCATGTGAAGATCCCATTCAAGTCTCATCTCGTAAATAGCGAGACTGGTGCTACAACCTTCTGACATGAGATAGGCGGTTTGTAATAAAATAATAAAACATGTATTACCACATTCATAGTGAAAAAATGTAATACATCGAAAATGTAAAGAAAATATAGTTATCGTAATCCGTCATATCGTGAGCAGCTATTTTGATCCACCTGGACATTCCAGTATCCTAGTTACCTCGGGCATGCGCATTCGAATTTTTCTGAGTTGGAACACTTATGCGAGAGCGAGATTGAAACGGGATCTTGGTATCATGTCACCGTAGTTGCAAACCCCAAGTAATGTACCTCTGGTAACATACTGAATTGAAAGTTCACAAAAAATGATTAGCAGGGCTACTTACCGGTAACTAACTACCGGGGGTAGTAATTTTTAACACTCACCAGAATAACTACAACTAAAATATCTCAAACATTTTGAGACGTAAATTTAGTACTTACTGGTTCACTTTGTCTTCAACTTCTTTTTTTAAATCACCAACCTGTTTCCTCATACTCTCCAGATCATTTGCAGTTCTTTCTACGGTGAACTTCAAAGTATCAAGCTACGAAGGAAACAAAGAAACAATTAAGTTCACATGTCTATGACAGCTACCGTAAATACAATGTTCGTATATTTCTAATACATGGATATAAATAACTTTTTAAGTGCGTTAATATTTAAAATGAGGTACTGTCGAATACTTTATTTTTCGCTTGGAATTGTTTTCGCTGTTTTCGCTGAAGGGATGCTTCAGTGAAAATAAAATCCAGTGAATATACTTTTTTTGACATCAAAAAATCAGTGAAAATAAATTCTGTACAAAACACTCAAAAGGCCTTTTCAGCGAAAATTAATTCGAGCTAAAATAAAATATTTTACAGTAATTTATAATCCGATCATTCGATGTAAAGCATGCATGTAATTTACTGAAATACACAATCTATATGTGAGGTTTTTTGGGACTACTTTATTTTGTGTGTCAAACGTACATACTTTTGTAACATTGTTATACGTCACCTAATCACCCAATTGTATTGATAAAAGAAAAGTAGTGCTAGTGGTAAAATAAATTCTAAGTCATTCATGAAAGCTCACTGCTTTTTGTGTGTGTTCTGAATCAGCATGTCACAATATATTTTGGCACCATGGACGCATGATGCATAACTACTGACACAAGCAAATACACGTAATCAAGATGTCATTAGCATATCACTGTATTTGCTCAAATTAACAGCACCTTTCTAATAAAAAGCTTATTGTATGCTGCCGGATCATTGAAATATAGCTTATTTTGACCATAGACACCTCAGTTATTTATATAAGTGTATGTGCTATAGAAAAAAACAAGCTATATCATTTATTTAAATCTGTAACAATATGAACAATACTTTCTTCCGTTTGAACTCTTTGATTGGATGACAGTCAGCTTTCACAAATTTTACACATGTCAATCAGCCAACTGAAAAAGTTTTTTCATACAAAAAACACAATGGGAAATATATACATGATTCTCACCTCATCAGAGAACTGTATTCGTTGAGATTCCTGTTGTTGATAATCAATTCTCAGTTTAGCAGCTATGCGGTCTGTACTACCAATCTTCTTTTCCATCTCTTGGTTATTCTCCATTTCATTCTCAAGGAACTGTTGTTTCTCTTTCACTACTTCATGTCTTGATCGAACCTCGGCTTTGACCTTTGCAAGCTCCTATAGTTGCAAAGAAAATGAAATGAACAGAAAATTTGTTTAACACAAAGATATGAAAACCCACTGTCTGAATTCAACTACAGTTACAATGAATGCCGTAAAAAATTTAAGTAACTAGGTCAGGTTTTTAGAATATACATGTACTACGACTGTGAGATCTTGAATGGTTGAGGTCTCAGGGTAAAAATAATGGAGCATTTGTATTATTTGTTGCCAGAAAAGCATAATGGTAATTTACATATATTACATAGCAAACCAAAGAAGTACCGTAACATTTTATGTATCTAACTGTAATCATGACTAAATAATTTACAAATACAAGTAAATTGTAGAACCTCGAAAAGTGAGTTATTTTTGTGTTTATATGGTCAAGGTGATCGCTTGCGAGTCATGGTTTTTTTTTCCAGCATTGTTATTGAACCTTAAATTTGTGTTGAACCATCAAACCAAGAAGTAGACTGACAAAAAATGGCAATTGACCAAATTGACATGATATATGTATACTGCACATCGCTGCGAATCATACATAATTTGGGGGCCAGTCAGTCAAAAAATATACATCACCTGAGAACATACAAAAACTTACCGCAGCTAACTGATCCATCTCCTTGTCTCTTCTCTGCATTTGTTCAATTGTTTGCTCCCATTGATGGATAAGTTGCTGACGATCGTTGTGGGCCTTACGGAACTCTTCAGCAGTTTTGTCTAGCTCAAGCTGCGAGATGAAAAGGAAGAAAAAAAATTAAGAATTACTGATTTGAAAGCAATGTTTATATAATTCAGCAAAGTTGATGCCATATTATAGTGTCAGTAGACTCCTGTTAATACCTACAAATAATCTTTGCAATCAACCGCAAACTTTTACCTGAGCTGTTAATGTCTCTGTTGTTTCATGATTCAACAATTTCCGCTTCCGTCGCTGCTCGTCAGTCAGTCTCTCCATTCGCAAGGATAATTCCTGTAACACGCAAAGTATAGTATTTTATTTTCATACAAGAGTTAAATCACAACAAGTAAATTGATAGAAAAAAACCAAAACAAATCACAATTACCAGTGCTAATGTTAGAATTTGACTTTGGAAACATAAAATTGCACTCATTACGGTAATTGTGTATTTATGATGAAAGGAGATAATTTTTCGTGTGAAGTAGGAATTATTAAATTGTTTTTGTTTTTTTTTTATAAATAAGGTTAACTTATTTAATATGTTATAATTTCAGTCTTTGATGATTGATGCAAACACTCTCTTTGATCATCAAGTACTAGGTTAGATATATGAGCAAGGGAACAAATACACACTTGACCAACAAGATAAAGTTCTAAATTAATTGATTTCTAACCTTAACTTTAGCATCATCCATACGTGTATATTTTGCAATCGTCATGGCATCTTCATCTTTCCTTGCAGACTCTTCCAGCCATGCTTCTAACGCCTGCTGATCCCAACTCATCTGTGACTTAAGCTCCTCCAGTTTCTGGGTTTGCTTGAAGATGTTATTCTAGAAAATAAGTAAGTGAGAATAAATTTTTGTTTTAAATTGAAAAAATGTAATAATTATGAATCAATCCTTGTTACAAATAAACGTAGCTTCTTTCTTATTATATCTACATTACTACATACATAGCCAAAGAAGCAACCTGATTTTTGTTTCACTTTTCAATTTTATAAGGCTACTTGAAATGCAACAACACAAGAAAATGCAATAAAGTATATAGAATGCAAATATGATCTCCTTACCTCATACATATTCCTTTTCTCCTTCAAATCTGCTAGCTCATTCTCCAGTCGTATAGTCTCCTGACGAAGCCTACCTTCCTCTCGTTGAGCTATCAGCAACAAATGTCGCTCTGTCTCCACCTCATTTTTCCTGGCTTTAAGCAATGCCTGGGTATGTTGTAACTCTTGCATGACATTCTTCATGTGTTCGGACATGGCATGGACGCGGTCATCATTGTCGGCCACTTCGTTTTGGTAGCGGATGATGTCCCGTTGTTTCTGCTGGACCTATGTTGTGATAAACAAGATTTAAAATGAAGCAATGTATACAGAACTGGATAAAGCATACAAGTCGTGTATAGACCAAAAGGTAAAGTACAATCAAAGGATATCATTTTAAGAAACGTTTTGATGAGTTTGGTAAGCACTGCATTACCAAACGAGATGAAATAATTGTGTTATCATGTCCTATGTCAATGGGTATCAATTTTACCTCACATTTTGAATTAAAAATTAAATTAATTAAAAGTTAAGTGGTTTATCAAATCACCTATGACACTCTTCTAAATTTGATGTTACGAGTGAATATCTTCTGTTAGGGCAAAATATGGTGGCAGTAAAAATTTACTGTGGACAGGAAACTACTATCACAAAATTTTCTAAATGGCAAGAATTAAATGATTAACAGTGTGTTGCCGTCTTACAGCATATTCAGATGTGCTCCTCTTCAGCTGTGCGGCTTGATGGATGCAAAAAATATTTTAATTTTTGTTTGGCCATAAAAATCTTATCAAATACTGTAAAATGATTAATTTTCACTGGGTTTAAATTTCACTGATTTACCATTTCAGGCATATTCAGTAGGTTATTCATGGTTTTATCATTTAGATAATGTGTTCTATGCTAAATTTTACATATTCACTGAATTTTAATTTACCGCATTACCGTACAGTCAGCGAAATAAGCAAAATTAAAACCCAGTGAATAATTAACCCTTTTACAGTATACATGTAGCTAGTCATGGTGGTGGTGGAGGTGAAGCATGTTGACGTGAAAGCCCTCAAAAACATTGCAAATAGAACACCTACCACACCCACCCACAGCAGAACTAATGCGCTAGTCAATATAAACCCCTACTCCCAACACAACGGGGAATATTATGATGCACTTAGGAGAATGTAACCAGTCCCATACAGACACTTTGAAACACTTAAAATGTATATGTCATATTTTGAACTGCATATAGATCTGAAACTGGATACCGTGATAGATTTTAGATTTCATTTATAACTTACCTCATCTTCAAGTAATTTGTTTTCCTTATTGGCGACAGGCATGCTGAGGCCTTCATCCCATTCAAGTTCACTCAAAACACTTCTCACGCTCATGTTTTCTGGATCTCGAATATTAACTTCCGCAGAAAAGGGTTACAATTAAATCTGATTAGCGACACGAGTATATGCCAAAAATTGTGAAAAAAGTACGTTTCTAGATAATTATGGATCTCTTGAGATGTCCTTGTGGGTCCTGGATTGGTCTAAATCGTCGAATATTGGCACAAATTAGGAATATGACGACCCAGCTGAGCTAAGAATCCATTTGTTTGCTGTGGTTACCGAGATCCGAATTGCCCGGATGAATTATTTGACATGCGCAGCTTTTCGCCTCTGTCGGGACAAGTTTTAACTTGTTGACAGGCATCAAAGACATTTTGATTATTTTTCATGTTACTTAGCCATGAAAGTAAATATAAAGTATAATTTCAAACATTGAATCAGAAATTTGTCTAAATTTGTTGATTTCATTTCTACTTATGAAAAGAAATATAAATGTATTGTGTGAGGTCGAACATGGCGGACTTGAGTAGTGTTATCACAAACAAACATACGGTAGAGCTCCACGAACTTTTAGGATTCACCCAACTCGTGGAGACGTCGCGATTGCGTACCGGGTTGCGTTCGTATAAATATAATTGAATAACCGGTTATTTTACCCAAACATTCCATAATTGAAATTTTCGAAATCGGTGTCTCG